ACATTTGGAAGAGATGGAATAACAAATTCACACAACCAACATTTGTGGGCAGATCTGAATCCCCATGGTATACAGGCTATAAATCAGCATCAGTTTATGATTAATGTGTGAACTAGAATTATAGGTGAATGTCTGGCAGATTTGTATGTTCTCTCCACATGTCTTACACATGTACAGGGACTTTATTTGAAACACACTTCCAGACCTACTAGAGGATATACCCCTGATAATACGAAGATGCATGTGGTTCATTCATGATGGGGATCCAGCATATTTTAATTACATTGTTTGCCATGCACTGAAATCTAACATGAAAGATAGATAGATAGATAGATTGAGAAGGACTGGTTCCATAATCTGCACATTCCCCTGACCTCAATCCTTTGGATTTTTATCTGTGGGGCCACCTAAAACAATTGGTTTATGCAGCAGACATTAATAATGTAGAGATGCTTCAACATGTCATGGAGGCCTGCGAAACCATTCAGCACCATGTATTTGAAAGAGTTTGCCAGTCAATGACCCGATGGGTAGAATCAAGCAGAGGACATGTTGAACATTAGTTGTGAGTTGCTGTATTGAGGTACAACAATAGCCTTTTGTCCATATATTTATATGGACATTTTACCTTGTTTGTTTTGGTGTGAGGAACCCACACCTAAAGTTTGTAAAATTATTTTTGATACACCCTTTAGAGTGATATATATGAGAGAGAGTCTATAATGCTGTTACTATATAGCTGCAAAATCTGAACTCCATTTGTTGTGACATACAAAAATTAGAACACTTTCACTGGCAAAAGCTTTGTTCAATTTTGAACAGTAAATGAAATTACAAGATGACCAACACTAAAGACCTGGTTAGAGACAACAGTCAAAGAATCAAATTGCTGATCATTAAAAATTGTCTCTGATGTAGCAAGAATGAAAGAGTCAAGGTTTCTGCCTTAAGTCTTATACATTGAGCTCACCTCAGGGAAAAGACCATGGGGTCACCCACTTTGAAGATACAAGGACCCACTTAAAACAACACTGAAAGCCACTAGAGTTGAGCCTAAATCATTTGAAACACAAGCTCAAGACTGTAGCAATGTTCCAGTACCACTGGAACCATAAACTTTGAAGAGAAAAGGAAGACATCAAACAAGAGAAAGGTTTGACAAAATTGACCCCATGCTCCACTAACATTACTATGCAGTCAGTGCCATTGACTCTTTCTTGCAAGAATTGGTCTACTTAGCCATTGATGCCATCATCATAAAGGAAGCAATCAACAAAAGAAATTAAATTCTTGGATAAGAGTTGAGTTTATATATATATATATATATACACACACACACACCGGGTGTCCCAAAAAATTGACATCATTTAGTAATCTAATAACATATACAATCCTGACTCAAGTAATCTCAAATTTTTAAAAAATGTGGTAAAACTAAGTTGACTGTGTGAACTTATATCAGTGAGAATCTATCATGAAGATGGATCAGGCATGCCTGTAATAATGCCAGTATGCTGTTGAAATGTTCAACACATTCATCTGACTTGATACCGTGTGATTTTTTTTCTATACGTCTATGTGAAAGGACAGGTCTATATCCCCCATCTTCCTACAAGCCTAGAGGAACTTAAGAATAGAATCTTAGAGGTGCTGGAGAATGCTACATAAGAAATGCTACAGTGTGTTTGGCAGGAGCTGGACTACTGACATGACGTGTTGTGTCAGGTGGAGCACATATTGAACATTTGTGACACTTTGTAAAATCTGTTATAAAATTTATATCCCTTTGAATATCTTGTTTCAATTTTGATAAATCTTTTATCATTCAGCATAAAGCCTATTTAATTCCGTTTGCCTGATTCAGGTAGTTACTCAGATATTTTGATAAGATCCAAAGATGAATCGACAATTGGTCCTGATCTGGTGGCTTGACTTTAGTTACTTTCCCACCATTGTAAGGTTGCTTCTCTGACATTTCTATAAATACTTTTATGGTAATTGTTCAGATGAGCTCTTTGCTATGGGACCTAGATGTTTTGAATTTAAGCGCAGTACTAAACTGGAATCGAGATATCATCAATTTACAGTTGAGCTGGCTAGATGTAGTTGTAAGTTCTATGCTAACAGTTCCTTATCTTGCACTTCACACTTGTGGAACTCTCTTCTGGCTACATTCTTTGCAGTCAACTTTAATCTGCAAAAATTTAAATGCCATGTCAATCACTACCTTTTTTCTCTTTTCGCTCATTATTAAAATGTCTGTTCTTAATTCTTTCACACCCTGTAACCCCTTGTGTTTTAGTTTACCACTTTACTGCTTTGCATGTGGTGATACCAATTTTAAAAAAAAATTACTTTTTAAAAGAAGTAAATTTTTTTTGACACCTATTACATTTTGTATATGCAGATATTTCTCTAATTTATCTATGAATAAATGTATTAAATTTTGGCAGGCACTATGGATTTAAATAAACATTATTTTAAATATAATAATTATAAACATTATTTTTAAATAAAATCATGGGTAGCACAAAGAATGTCTTATTCTGCTTTTTAAATCTTTAAAATTTAAAACTGCAAAAAAATCCATATCTGTCTATATTTCTAAGATGAGGTATTATGTACACTATTTACATTATTCAGATTATTGTCCTCATCTTTGTTGCTATATTTATCACATTTCAGCCATTGTATGCTCCTTAAGGACACATGGCACAGTAGATAAAGGCATTGGTTAGATCCAGTGACAGGACCCAATACCTGGTTAAAACAGAACTTGGAGAGGGGAATTAACAGGAGATAGCTGATAACTGACATCCATTAGACATGGCACATGGAACTAGAACAGTTTACCCCAGTGAGCAAAATAAAGGGTTCAGTTCGACATTCCAACCACCGGAAGAAGGCATGCAACGGCCGAAACGTTGTGATAAATATGGCAACAAAGATGAACACAATAGTCTGAATAATGTAAATAGTGTACAAAAAATAAAACCTGGTTTCATTCTGAGATTAATATGGACATCATACTCCATACTACGATAACAATGAGATATTTCATTATGAAGTAAATTATTGTCATACTTGTGTCTAATTCAATTTTTCTGGGACATTTACAAAAGTCCCTTAATGCTAACATATGTAAAGCAAAATAATGCGAGACTAATTCAACTGAGCAGATTTTACTGTCTAACAAAAGAAGGAAAACCTGACATTACCATTTTTCTTCTTATTATGCTACTACTCTCTCAGGATATCAATTGATTGTGGCTCTCCATGGTTTCTTTTTCATTAATATCTATAAACTATGCAATACTATGGTTGTTTCTGGTAAAGACAAAGAAATAGCTTCCCATTGCTTTCCACTGTGTTTTGAATTCAGAGTTGTCTTTCTAGATTCATTACCAACCAAGGCAAGAGAGTCTAGTCTGTGCTGCTATTTAACCTTTAGGAAAATTACCAAAATTCTTTAGTTCTAAGATGAAAAAGGTATTCTTCCAAGAGTTTGAATTGTTGGATTGTTACTTTTGATGTTAATATAATGTTTCAGCTGATTCATTCTCTGGTCTCCTTTTAGTATGCCTTCTCTATGAAAATGGAAAAATCCCTTTTTATTTTACATATAAACAAAAGAATGGATTTTTATTATTCCAACATTTTTGGAGTGGATACTTGCATTTGAGTAGGTGATCTATTTATTAATAATTAAATCCATTCTAAAATTCTCTTTGCTTATGTTTGGATTCCAAACTGTGCAAATATAAAAAAACTTTGAAAGTACTATGACAAGAGAAATTTTGCTTGAAAGCATGAAATTTAGTCTTGTCTGACTGACTGTTCTCTCTGGCCAAGTCAGTAAAACATACCGGGCTAAACAGTAGCTTCCAGAGGAGTGCAGGTTTGATACCTGCCAGAGAGTGCAACTTTTTCTTTAATTAGATTTCATGAATATTCAGGCCAGTAGATGAAAATAAATATATATACTGTCTCATGAATAAACAGATCACCAATTCAAATAAGAGTATCCACTAAAAATAACTTTTAAAGGTATATATATATATATATATATATATATATATATATATATATATATATATATAATATATAATCACTTAAACATTATCTTTAGTAGATGTTCTGTTTATTAAATGGTATATTTATTTATGTTAGGATATGAATCTGAGCAGAGATGTACATTTTGAAAAGTAGAAACAATCTGTGTTTAAAATCACTATTCTGACTTTTCTTGACCATCAGATTAGGGTTTCCTCTAGGGTAACCCGCAGTCAAATCCTGCTAGAGAGTGCATATTTTTCTAATAAGATTTCTTGAATATTCAAACCAGTATATAGTGATAAATAAATATAGTGTTTAATAAATAAATAGAGCATCTACTCAAATCTGGGTATCCACTAAAAGTAAGGTTTATGTAATAAAATATGCCAGGTTAGTAAATGAAAATCCATTCCTGATATATATATATATATATATATATATATATAATCAGTGTAAATGTTTTTAATTATTACATTTCAGTATTAACATTCAATTCTAATATATATTTATATTTTGTTATCCATCTTTTTATTATTAACTTTTTCTTTTTGTTATAAAATACTTTTTTAATATAACTATTTTATTGCATATATATATATATATATATATATATATATATATATATGCTTTTAGAGAAAATGTGCTCTCCTTAAAAGTAAAATAGAAGTTTGCTAATCTGTTTTCTTTCTATAGCCAAGCAGTTTAAGGCACACCAGATCAAATGGTGGTTCCTCTTACAAAACAAGACACAGGTTTGAATGCTGCTGGAAACCACATTTTCTTAGTTTTCTACAGTGTATGACTTTTCTCAATGTTTTGATCATGATTCCATTTTTTTTTTTAAAAAAAAAAAAACAAGATAAAAATTCTGAAAAAAAAAAAGAAATAATTACTTATTTATGCACATTTTTTGGTATGACATGAAATTTCTCTCATTTGTACAGGGGACAAGTGCATTGTGGATTGCCCCCGAAGCCAGTATTCATTCTATGTCAAATCAGGAGATGGTTTAAAATCTGGTCCTATTATCTGTTTTAACAATGAAGAGTATGTATTATTCACAAGTTGTTTTCTTAATTTTCTTCTTTTTTTTCCCTTTTTTTCCTTTTTTTTTTCTTTTCTAACTTATACTGCATTGAAGAAATGGAAAAAAATAAATTAATGAAGATCTTATTTGAAGTATAACATTTAATTAAAGCAAAAAAAAGAATGGACATAATGGTTGGAAAGGGGAAAACAACAACAACAACTATTGTAGTTACCAATATATAATTAGGAGCAAGAAAGAGAAAAGAGAGGGGGAAAAAAAGGGAAAAATCAAAAGAATACAAAATGAGTTAACCGGTTATCGCTCCTCGATCATCAGAACTTGGTCAAGAAATGTAAATTTTCTTGTGTGCACCAACTAAAAAAAATAAAGAAAATATGAAAATGAAAATAGATGCATACCAATAATATATTGAGATCAATATATTTTTACAAACTCATCACATTTAGTACCAACAACCAATCCTTCTACTTGCATAATGAAGGTTGAGTTAATGAAAATAGTTTCAAGTATTTACACTTTAATCCACTTGACTCTTGTTCTGATGTCTTATTGGATAATAGCCTAGTGGCTTAAAATGTTGGTTTGTGAATTTTGTGATATAGTAATTGTCATCTCAATCTGGTCAACATGTTCTTAGACTCAGTGGAAATCATTATTTAAATTCAGAATATTGTTCTTATCTTTGCTGTGGTTACCATGATTCATCCATTCTGCATTCTGGCTTTTGTCCTGTGAATGTCAATTCAGGTAACCTATAGGGAATGCCTGATCAAACCCTTTATTTAATATTTTTATTTGGTGGTATTGCCAGACGAGAGGTAGCAGTCTTCCATAAATGTAGACGAGGCAGGCATCCACATTATGCAGAGATTCAAGTAGGGAAGTAGTCCACAGGTATGCAGAAAGTCATGACCTCTTGCATGGTACTGCTCAAAATGTAGAATTTGGTCAACTGAATTAATAAAATTAGTCGTTGATTCTTTAGATTATTAATTTTTATATTAAAACTTTGGGCCATGAATTTGGTGACATATTAAGTGTGGATTCAGTCTCTAGGCCTGGCCCTGTGTATGTCGACTCAGTGGAAATATTGTGAGCAATAACTGAACAGTACTAAAAATAAGAACTCTATGGGATATCTTTAGATATGGACAATGGAACAAGACTGTCTTGCCCCATAGATTAAAGGAAGGGTTCAATTCAGAATTCCCTGTAGCTTAATTAGATTGATATACACCTCAAGAAGGCCAGGGAACCCAACAGCCAAAAGTTTTTGAAAACAACAACAAAGATTAGGACAATAGTCTGAATATAAATAGTGTAAATAATAACTCCTCATCCCAGAATTTCAGAGAGAAATTATAGTTTCAAGTACATTTAAATAATATTTTGAATATGATCCATATAAAACTGACATCATGTCTTCTTGGAAAGACAATGCACACTGCTGATTTATTTTATAAGGTGTTCTGTGATTGCAGACCCAGATGTGATGGCATACTTATTTAAATTATCTTGTCAATCCTTTTTAATTCACACCAAGAGAGGCTGAGCAAATCACACCTGTTGAAGTTGAATCATCCAACCCATGTTATTAGTTTCACACTGACGTGAATTGGTAAATTATGGAACTGGTTCTAAATAAATATAAAGTCATCTATATAAATTCATTTCAACATGGAATATTTGATAACAAAATATAATATGTGAATAAAGCCACATTGCCTGACACTGGTGGAGATTTGCTTTGCCAATCTCACACCAGCCTCATCAGTCTGCTGATGTGAGGCTGATGTAATTGATAGTGGTTCTGAATGAGAAATCTGATAGCCAAGTTTAGATTCCAGCCAAGTTCATCAGATTCACTTGCATGCTAATACAATTGGGGAAAAATATGAATTCATTTTTCTCCACCCATCTATGGGTTAAATAGTAGGATTTGCACCTGGAAACATAATTAATATCTCAAATAATTCTTAATGCAATATCCACTTGCAGAATTTTATTTTACAATTGAAATGGCTAGATGTAACCCTAAGTTTTATGCTAACAGTTTCTTCTAGTGCACTTCTCACTTGTGGAATTCACTTCCTGCTTCTTGCTTAACTTTGAATTTCAAAGATTTAAATGCAATGTTAGTTGTTATCTACTGCCTTAATTCTTATTCTTTTCTCTCTCCTTTTGCTTTCCTTTTTCATATTCTGTAATACTCAGGAATGCTTTATGTCTTAGTGGTTTTATTGCCTTGTTTGGGGTGAAATGATTAACAAAAAAAAAAGAATTATTCATACAAAATATGTTTCGACTTTAAATGAACCAAATCAATCAGCCATTTTTTTCTTATTTGGTTTGGCTTTTTAGAAAGCAACTTTCACTATTCCATTCTATGACAATCTGAGATATACAGGACATTTTTCAATGCTAGCTGATATTAAATTGTTTGATGTGTTTTCCTTTTAAAAAAAAATAGACATTATGCATTAAACTGAACAGGAAGAATTTTTAACTGTTTCTGTTCATGTATTGGGTTGGCCAAAAAGTTTATTCTGTTTATTAAGCAAACAAATATTTTGGCCAAACTCTATATTATATGAGAGAGCGCCATAAAATTCTCAGTGTCGGATCTCTTGGAAGATTCTACAACTGATTCAAATCAGGTAACGAGTCTGACAGATACTTTGTCAATGGCCCTCTGATAGGAGTAGATATATACGTTTTTTTTAATTTTTTTACTTGACATTTTGCTAGTAACTGTTTGCTCTCAATGCTCTTCATTGTGAAAGAACCTGAGAAAAAGGAGAAACTTTATTAATAGAGAGAGAGAAAAACAGCAATAAAAGACCAAGGAATTAAGGCAACAAAAGATAATGATTGACATTGCATTTCAAATTTTAAAGATCAAAGTTTGATGGAAAGCAAGAAGCTGGAAGATATTTCCTCATAGTTTTTAATTTATAATTGTCAAATAATTTTTTTTAAAAATATAGTATTTTCAGATATTAAACCTCTGATATTCCTGGTTTTTCAGGTTGATAAGTCCTCGACTCAAGAACACTCATCGAGGAATAAATGCAGTTTTCATTGATGGTAAGTAATAATCCAAAGCTGACTGTCCTTTTAAAATGGTTACTACTTAATATATACTAAATGAGCACAACATATATCAGACATATACATGTATATCTTTATACTAATATATCGATAGGTATTATATTTTGAAGTGCCACAGCTATCAATTCTCTCTTCTGTAATTGATAGTGGCAGTGTGTACAGTTTTGAGAGTTCATTGAAATTGGTCTGTGTATCAGAATTTCTGAAATGAAATATTTTAGAGCTTCAGTTTCTTTATTGAAGTAGAGTATATTCAATTTCCATGTGCAATCAATAATGATCCCAAAGCCTCCAATTTATTGAGGTGAAAATGTATTGAAAGTGCACTAATTTCATAATCATTTATGGTAAATTTATATCCAAGAACTTCCAATATATCTCCTTTACACACAAAATTATTAATCAATTGTGGGGATAAAAATGAGATTAATTTCAGCATCTAGATATATTAGACTCCAGAATTAAATTTCATAGACTAATTGTCTTTCTCCCCTTTTAACTCTTTACCCAATCAATTATTTTGGGAAAAACATTTCATTTTCAAATTTTTTCATTTGTTTTTAATGTAGTAACTAAGAAACTGAGGCATCTTGAAGTACCTGAGTGGTTGCTAACACCTCTACCAGACATATGAAGTGATATTTGGACTCATTTCGAACTCAGAAGGGCATAAAAAGGATCAAGATCAGCATATAAACACAACTGTAGTTGGTCGTTGAACATTATGGACATGTTTGAAAACAGATGTCTGAAAAAGACACTTTCAGTAAAAAAACATATACATGTCTACACTGGGAGAAAGGGTTAATGTTTCCATATACACTATAACCATTGTTCCTTTTGTTTCTCCCACCAACTTTTTTTTACTTTTGACTTTATGACTGGTTCTATCAATGAAACTGTTATTAGTCTGAAGAAGTTCTTTCTCAGTACAAAATGTGTCACTAAGATTTTTCCTTTTTCTCATTCATTTAAATTCACTAAATTATCTAAATTTTGTTTATTGGTAGAAACATGTACAGAATTAATTTTGACAAATTACTAACAGTGAAGAATCATTTTCTTATTGGTAGGCTGTAGCATTTTTTATATTTTTGATCAAAGAAATTAAAAATTTAAGCTTTTAAATTTTTTTTTTGTTTTTGAAAGTTGTTGCTGACTTGTGGTATCTTGCTTCAGACACATTGGTATTAATTCCATGGTTTCTTTTTTTATAAAGTTCAAAATAAATTGCTATGCCACCATAAATATTCTCTCTGTTATTTTTTTACCTTGATTTGTTGACCATTCTAAAATGGTGTAAGTTGATATACAAACTTTTTGAAAGTTTTTACTATTTTTGAAACTACCAAATTACTCTCCATTGACATGGACAATATTCTGACACAAAGATTTTGTGATGTTAGGCTCCAACTTTTAAAAAAATTATTGGTGATACCAAATTGAAACAAGTGCAACAGTTTAAATCTCTGGGAAGTGTTTTAACAGAGGACAGAAAGTGTGATATAGAATACCAAAGGCACATTAGGAAAAAAAGAAAAATATAAACGGAAATTTTTCCTTAGAACCAAAAAGTTACACAGTATCAATCCTTCTATATGGCAGTGAATTCTAGAGAATTTTCTCACAGATCAAGAAAAGACTTGAAGCAAGAGAAATGTGGTTCTACAGAAGGATGCTGAGAATACCATGGACTGAACATTTGAGAAATGATGAAGTTTTAGAGAAAATGACACTTTTACATAACATTAGAAAGAAATAATTGACATTTCTCGAGGACTTGGAAAATTTGACACTCACTTTTAACATGTTGTTTGATTGTTAATCTTTCCATAGTTGAAATTACCAAAAACTTAAGTTGTTAAATCTGAAAGAAAAAGAAAAACTTAATCCACATTTAAAATTGGTACAAGTTACTGGAAAACCCTATATGTGCATTTCTTCATATAAAAATTCATGTTTTGCTTTAAAAAATCAGCAATTATTTCTCTTCTTTAAAATCTAAAGAAATCAGTTTTCATATTTATGTTCATTGTTTTCATTTTTACTTTTCCAATTTCAGTTAAAACTAAAAAAGTCTCCAGCGTGACATATTTTGATACTTATGTTGAAGGTAAGTTGTGTTCGCTAATATTTTTTGATAAAATCTTGAAAGATTCCATCTGCTTGATATTGCCATAGAAATTCATATAATAGACCTAATGAACATCATTTGCTTTAGTCATTTTCCCTCTGCCTTTTCTATAGTTTCATGATAATTACTCTGCAGAGAGTTGAAAAAAGGAAATAAATGATTATGGTCCTCCTTTGATTCCTCTTCTTTATCTGTGAATTGCTATAACTTCCTGGAAAAGAGATGGTGGTTTTCTAAGTTCTCCACAGTTTGGTATTCAGAGATTTTTCTTTTCTTAGATTGGTTGCCAGCCAAGACTAGAGAATCAAGTCTACCTTTCTGTTTAATCCATACTTTCCAAAGGATGTTGTATAAAAGTGAAATCAACAGACTATCCAGAAATTTGAACTTGGCTTGCTGATTTCACCTACCATACCAGTATCAATTTCACTAACCACAAGGGTTGCCCTGGGTAAGATGTTAAACTACATCTGCATCCTGTGTAAGACGTTAAACTACATCCAGCAGCAAGGCCTCTAATCAGGAGGTTTTGATGAGCATGGAACCACCTCTTAATTGTTGGTGTTCCCAGGTCCACCCTGACCCGGAGTGGTAGCACCTGTTGGAGTCCCAGCTATGGGCAAATAGTTAACCATTACCAGCAATACTTTTTTGAAAAAATTACTACCAGCAATACAATTTTGAAGGAAAAATATTACCAGAAACAGATTTTTGACAAAACAAAATATTACCAACAATAAAAAATGTTGTCGCATTAAATAGCCTATTGAGGTTGATATGTTGTAAAACAAAATAAACCAAAGAATACATATTCTATTCATATGAATTTATCCTAAAAATGTTGCCGGCATTAAATAACCCATTGAGGTTGATATGCTGTAAAACAAAACAAACCAAATCAAACCAAACCTCAAGTGGTAATCCCCAGACCAAAAAGAAATTCAGGGCGGATGCTAGCAGACTTAGATATAAATCTGACCAATTGATTGACTAAATTCTGGCATTAACCCAACCCCTTATATTTAATGTCAAATTACCTAACAAAGATTAATGTATCATTAAATTAACTGATTAATATTCATGACTGAATTCAGCAAATTGAAATAAATGTTTTTTTTTTATCATTTAGCAGCAGACATGTTGATGTAACTTCATACCTGTATATAGTTGGGAGATATTTTTCTTTGTTTTTTTTTTTTTCATTCTAAATTTATTTTCTTGTACAATTTTGACTAAATTTTCTTAGAGGACACTAAGAATGACTTTATTTCCATTCTTGAGGCACCAACCACTTGTGAAATATTCAGATTTTGTCCATTGTTTTGTGCAAGCTTGATTTTCTTAAGGTGCAGGGTGGCAGAAGCAAGCCCATCACCAGGGTATTCTGAATGGGAATGGCACAAAAAAAAAAAAAGAAAGAATTATAATCCAAAATATGCTTCGGCTTTAAATAATCTACAAAACAATCAATCAATCAATCCAGCACTTAGAAATCATCTGCATTTCAAGAGAAGATAATGATTCAATTACTTCCATGTTATTTAATTCATGTGTGTCTTTTGAAAATGAAGTGTTTTTTTGGGTTTTTTTTTTTCATAAATTTTCTTTTCTTCAGATTTTGCCTTGATACGTTATCTCAAGAGAGATGTTCCAGATGAAGCTATTGTTTTAATGGCAAGCTTTGATGAAATGTCATCAAGGTAAGTCCGTCTTTGCCTCCTCCCACACATACTTCATGAATTTCTCCATTGTAGTGTAATGGGGGAGAGCAATCGAAGAAATGTTTATTCTATCTTTTTTTATTTCACCCATTATGTGCATTATTATATCTGTGATAAGTAACACTGTAATTCATGGATGAAATGGAATGATCAAAAAGAAAAGAAATGACAAACATGCTTTGTTCTCAGAGAGACTTTTATACCACTAAGACATCCATAAAACAATATATATATGTGTAATGAGTTGGTCGGTCAACTTGACACCCCCAAAGCGAATGGAGGAGGGCAGGCGTGAAAACTGTGATTGGTAGCTGGCTTGTTGACATTTTGCATGGGCAAGTTACCAAGCTCTATGTAAAGGGCTGGGATGAGAAGGCGGGCAGTTCATCTCAGAACTGGGGACTGCCCATCACCATGACAGTAGGAGAGAGACAAAATTTTTTCTTTTTTTTTTTTTTTTCTTTTGTGACACATTTCAACACAATATGTATATACACATGTCCTATGCAGAGAATAATATATCCCATATATGTACACAGTGAGCAAAATGTAAGAGGAAACAAAATGGAAATTTGTCTATGCTTCTGGAGAAACCAGGTTTAGAACTCCAGATTCAAATGTCCTTCCTATGTCCCAGGTGAGGACATATACTACAAAGGAGAAACGGCAAGTTTTGGGTTTCCCAAATTGAGCCCCCTGTGAGCCGGTGTTTCTTTCTATATCTGGGAAAGATATATTCCCAAAGGGAAAGAGCACCACGGACATGTAAACTGTAAAATTTGCTAAAGAAGGCATCCCGGGTCCCATGGCCGAGGCTAAAAAACGAAGCAACTGCTCAGTTTGGCTGCTATAAATGAACTGAATGACTAGCCACTCCTGTCACTGTATGAAGTGACATCACTAAAGCAGCCATCATGTGACTCATGTGATTTATCTTCACCAAAGGGAGATAATCACCTTTTGTATCCCAACACTGGTTAACTGGAAGGAATTAAGGTAAAACATTATACTTTAGCTTCTCATTGGTCTTCTTCACAATCTATAAGTTTCTTTCAGAACCTATTGACTGAACAAGTGCTCTGCAAGAAGTTTTGGTTTCTGGTATTATTCTTAGTGTAGTTGCACAATAGGTACTGTAACTAGTTTTTTTCTTTTGTTTTGTTTTTCTATTTAATTCTTTGTGTCCAAATAAGTAGTGAATAAAATTAACATCATGTGGTAATCATTGTCTCTTTGGAAAACTCATTAGTTGCTGTTAGATTGAAAACTTTCAGCTTTCCCTACCCTGCTTCCATTTTTTTTTTTTTTTTTTTTTATTTCTAAGAAAATCATTTGCTTATATTTGTTTACTTTCCTTACAGCTTGAAAGCTGATGGCAGGAAATGGCTAAAATCATTTGGCAGCAATTTGATCGACAAAGTTGGTTTCAGAGATGCTTTTGTTTTAATTGGACAACGTGGACTCAAACCCGGACATGCCATTGAATTTGTAAGCACAGTCAAAATATCCCAGTTGTATTAAAAAAAAAAAAATATAGCAATACTTTTTTTGTTGTTATTTTTTGTTTACACATCTAACATTTTAAATTTAAGCTAACATTTATAACATAAGAGTAAACCTGTTAAGAATAATATAAGTCTTTTATGCAAACAGATGTCTTCCTATACAAGTTTGTTTTTTTTATTTTTATCTTTTGGAATTACTTTTAGAGTCACTATGATTTGCTACTTGGCTGAAATATTTTTGCTTATTTTTCACTGATGCATGATCTTTAAGCATAAATAAAAGCCTGGAATTGGAATGCTGATTTTCAAAGAAAGCAGGCCCACCTCTCATGAAATATTGGCACAACCTAATCTTGTCAACGTTGACAGCACAGATTTATAGTGACTTATTTGTGGGGTTCGATTTGGGCCTTGTTAGGATTAGCCCACTATACGGGATGTATGAATTAGTAAATAAAACATGATAAACCACATCTTAAGAACAATCAAAATGACAAATAATATTTTTTTTACATCATTTACTGTGTATTGTTTGATTGAGTTTGTTTTTTATGGCTTATCAACCTTTTGCCAGTTATTTAAAGTCAGAAAATATTCTTAGATTGTAAGAATTTTTTGGAAATAATAAAGACCTACTGATACAAGTCCTACTAATTATCCCTTTTGTGATGTCAATGAACACTCATTAACACTTTTATAATGTCAACAAATACTTGTCACTTTCGTAATACTTGTTGTAGTAGAGACTTTGTAATTGCAGATACAACTATAGTAACACCATTGAACAATGCTGGTGTCAGATACCTTCGAATAACACTTGCACTAATAGTAATTGCTTCATAATACTCACTTGAAAAGTAACCACTGAATAGTAATCTGTATAGAAAATAGTATAGTGAATAGAGTAGAGAATAGCAATCTGTATAGTAATAGAGGATAGAATAGAAATGATGATCTGTATAGCAATAGAGGATAGAATAGAAATGGTGATCTGTATAGCAATAGAGGATAGAATAGAAATGGTGATCTGTATAGCAATAGAGGATAGAATAGAAATGGTGATCTGATAGATAGAATAGAAATGGTGATCTGTATAGCAATAGAGGATAGAATAGAAATGGTGATCTGTATAGCAATAGAGGATAGGATAGAAATGGTGATCTGTATAGCAATAGAGGATAGAATAGGGTGATCTGTATAGTAATAGAGGATAGAATAGAAATGGTGATCTGTATAGCAATAGAGGATAGAATAGAAATGGTGATCTGTATAGCAATAGAGGATAGAATAGAAATGGTGATCTGTATAGCAATAGAGGATAGAATAGAAATGGTGATCTGTATAGCAATAGAGGATAGAATAGAAATGGTGATCTGTATAGCAATAGAGGATAGAATAGAAATGGTGATCTGTATAGCAATAGAGGATAGAATAGAAATGGTGATCTGTATAGCAATAGAGGATAGTGTAGAAATGGTGATCTGTATTGTGATAGAGGATAGTCTAGAAAGAGTGATCACTTCGGTGCAATGCTAATTCCCATATATACATTTCATTTACTATCATGTGTTCTACTTCATCAAAATGGGATTGCCCATGTTTTCTCTCTGGCGATCTATGTTCAAACTACAATGTCAGCAGTGAAACTTTATTCCTATATAACAATCCAATAACTGGTGGGAGAAGATGTGGATTCATATTTTCCTATGGGTATTTGTGCCTAAATGAATATAACTAACCCAACTGGAATTGGAACTCAGTCTCACCAGTTTCCACTTCATTATCCATTACACCACCTGCACATCCAAGCTTACAGCACCTGGTATTCCTAAGTGGTCACCAATGTAGGTTCTGACCAAGCTCAAACTTGCTTATGTTTGATGATCATATAAGAACTAGTGAGTCAATATGATATGGGTGTAAGCTCATTCACTGTGAGGCTAAATAATATAGATATAGATGTAAAATAGACAATCTATCCATGGTGGAATAAGTTTTATTTTTATACTAAAGTTCACCCAAAACAAAGGTTGAATGTCAATGGAAGTAAAGAATTATATTCAAGAATGTTGGCTGAAGTATGTGATATGATTGAAGAGAAGGTAGCTAGAAATTAGGATTTGGAAGAGAGATGACTTATTGACCTTTGAGGCCAACAGTGAAATATTTAGGGAAGCATAAATGTGGGAGGTAGTGAGTTAGGTTTGGGGGGTCGTTGATTGAAATTGAGAACCTGTTGTGCATTGAGGAACATAAACTACAAGAATTGAACTGTTTTAGAAAATGGTCAAACAAGAGAATGAAAGAGAAATTTTTATTCTATCATGAACTTTTACTATGGAGAATGTTCAAGTATAGTTTCTGAAAGAATGTGTAAATTCAAGGAATGTTTATTTTTAAGAGTCCCTGTAAATAAAAAAAAAAGGAAAAAAAAAAATGGTTGAATTTACTATGTTGGTGAGTTAAAAAGTGAGTGAGATGTCTTGTCTAAGCTATGTGTGTCTGTTCAAGAGCAGTCATTTCAGCATCCTATTTTGAACCAAGCACAGTATGAAAAAGGGTTAACCTTATTGGATTTGTACTATGAATGCTTCCAATTCTTTTTATACATGCCCAAAAGCTGATAAGGTGTAACTGCTGTTAATAGTTTTCAATGCATGTGCTGGTGAAAAACCAAGTGTAGCATCTGCTAGAGAGATTTGTTCTACAAAATGGCAGTTCTTGAGGAAAAATTCTGTGGGGAACTTTCTTCTTAAGTTTGGGACATGCAAGATTCCACACCATCAAAGTAGGTGCTGTATATGATATAAATATATATCCAATAATATATTCACTATGAATTCATTATGAAAATTGGCATTGATTGCTCAATGGATCTGTTATTGAAAGGAAACCCCTTAGGAAAGGCAAGAATAATATGGAAAGTGATGGACATTGATGTTTCTAGTTGAAACTTTTTTTAATCGGTATAAGCCCCCCGGCAAGGCATTATAACCACTAAAACACAAGAGATTACAGTTTTTTTGCAGGGTCGGGGAATTATGAACAGAATGATAAGCAGAAAAAGCAAAAAAAAAAGTAATCAGATATGTGAGAGGAATTATGTCAAGTGTTTATTTTCAAAAGTTTTTCTCAGCACATTTAGTCATATTCAAAAACTTAAGTGTACACCTTACATGAAGGAATAAAAAAAAATTATTTAAATTCAATGTTGTGCAAAAGTGAGATCTTCAATAATTAATCCTAATAATTACAAATGTTGCATTGGAACCTGATATGAAAACAAGAATTCAAGGGAGATAATTTTCTCCCAAAATAATTTAACACAATAATATCACATTTTTTCTAATTATATTAACCAACTTCTTTTCAGAATCGTAAGAATAAAAAAGATTTTGCACCTGTGATAGAAAAAAGTGGCTGCTTTTCTATGCCAAGTAAGTATACATACGATTTTATTTTAATGTAATAATATTATATTTTTCATTTTTGAGGATCATGTATTAAGCACTTTAAGGTAGTAAAAGAACAGGAATTAAAATGACAGAAAATTCTGATTGACATTGCATTTAAATCTTTTAAGATCAGATTAGACAGGAAAGCAAGAAGAAAGAAGTGCAAGAGAAGAAACTGTTAACATAGGACTTAATTTAAACTTAATTCTCTTCCTATTTTCGTGTATTCACTGAACTTATTTTCTGTCTGTGTCCAGTGGCTTTTATGGTGAACTCTAATATATTTTCCATAGGCTTGTCAGATTCAAACACCTATGGATGTCATGCAAGGTGTTTAACTTATTCAGAAACATTTAAACTGCCATTTGTAAACAACCACTTTCTCAGATTCATGATTAATAATGACTTTGACTGAATGAAGCCTGTAGGTTATAGAGAGGACCATCCTTCATTGAATCTTGTGGACTGATGCTCCAGTATTACAAACTAAGAACCTTACCAAATAACAGAAACCACATCACTTCAGGATTTTTCACAGCAGCAGCAACTAAAACGGTTATCCCATATATTTTGAGGAGACAATAATGGTATAATCAAGATGTTGGACTTCCACTCTACTTCAAATATGCAAAAGATTAGGAATGAAAGAAGGAATTCCCCATCAATACTGGAAATACCAATAACAAAGAACTTGAGAAAGCCATTTTCCTGAAAACTTAAAAGGAGATTTTTATAAATTTTAACCGATAATATCACTGATTAATCAATGCCAGAATTTTTCTGTATGAGAAAACAGCCAATCTTAACTTTACCATAAATATTAAGCTTTTCTCATGTTTCAAGTAGGTCTTGTGTGTTTTGTGCAATCTATGTAATATAGATGTAGTTTATTCTGCATTTGTTTTACCCACTTTCATAACATCTGATCATGAATATAAAATGTCTTTTGTTCCAATGTTTTCAATAAAACCACACTGTTCTAGCTTTCAGGCTAATTCTGCTATGGGCTCTGTTCATTAGAAACCTTATAAGTTTATTAATGTGGCTAATTAACCTGACTTTCTGATTGAGTTCAGCATTCATTGCTGTCTGGTTTCTTATGCAATAAAGATAGATCTACTGAGATCTTCCAGTATTTCACTGTGGTCATATTTTGTATTATTTTGGTAATCTTGCCAATCTCAGAATCTTCTATTGTAATTTTCATTACAATCCCATCTAGTCTTACTACTTTGTTTATGTTTATATTACTCAGTGCTAAGCTTACCTCCAATTTTAATCTTGAAGATCCTGCTATGTTTTTATCTCTTATTCTGTTCTCCTCTTTGTTGCCATGGAAGATCTCTTTGACATATTTATTCTATCTTTATCATTTCTTTCCATATTATAAGTATTCTTGTTATATATTTTATATATCCTGTTGAAGTTAATTTTTTTTCTTGTTATTTCTTTTACCTTTCTATACATGCCTACTATGTCTTTCATTTTTTGATCTCTGTTCACTTCTCATTGAGTCATTCATCTTTTACCTGCTTGCATTTCTATCTAATGTCTTTGCATAACATCAACTTTTCTGTGTTATTCCCTGGCATTATTAGTTGTTATGTTTTCATTAGTTTGCAAATTATATCTCTCCTCCATTTCTTTTTTGTCCTGTTAATCTTCATTTGGGATGATCTTATTTGCCAGTGTCACTAATGCCTCATTTAAGGTGTTCGATTTTGAATTACTGAAACCTGCTAAGCTTTTATGTTAGTTTCTAGACAAACATATTCTAGAACAAAGTCATAAATCATAAGAATTTCATCCATCATCCACTTCTTTTTTCTTTTTATTTTCCTTCAGTCTCTTCCTTTTGTTTCACTTAAGATGTTCCACTTTGAATTACCAAACTCCTTTCAGGTTTTATATTTGTTTAGGTGTAAGTTTGTTTACAAAATATATTGTTTTGGAGTCCGTTGTATTGTAGTTTCAGTTTTGCTTTAGGTCTCTTTAATTTTCATAATTTTATACTTATTTTGAATTGAAAGCCAGAGAATTGATTGTATTTTGTTGTTGATAAATAAGGTAAAAATATCACATGCTTTCTCTTTGGATATTTTTTCTTTCATTAAGTCAATTACTTAATTGTAATTATTATACATTTGCAGACAGCTTAAGTAAAAAAAAAAAAAATGGAGAAGTTTGCATAAAATAGAAGAATTCAAGAAGAGAAGTAATAGCTGCTGTAACATTAGTTGTCTCTATGTCTGAGCTTATTATTCAAGTTTCTGGTTAGAATAAACTTATGTCTATGAAGAAAAAGAAATAAAAATTAACTGTAATTATTTTTTTCTCTTTCTGTGGACACATTGCAGTCAAAACGGAGTGACATTTTTGCCTACTGTTGAGGCTAAATTTAAGATAAAAAAAATCCAAAACTTACTCGACTCTTGCTCCACAAAGCCATATTTTCAAAAAATGCTCCACAAAGACATATTTTCAAAAAACATTGCCAAATTTTTTGTAACAGGGGAAATAACTTTTGTATTATTTTATTTAGTTTTTTTCCTAGTCTCGTCTGTGAGTAAATCATTGTTACTTTCAAAAGAACTGTTAATGCAATAATAACTCACAAAAGAATTCTTATAATGTTTCAGTTTTGGAGGTATATATAGACATAGAGAGAAGAGGCAGCTACAAATAATTAGTGCTAATTGTGTTTACATTATTTTGTTTCCTTTAATCATTTTAGTTGGCTTAAGCAAATGAATACCAAATGGAGTTGAAAAAATTCTGTCTAATGTATCTTGTCTTCTAAAAGGACTTCATCAGACTAAAGTAACCTTTTTTTTTCTTTTTTTTTTTTTCTATGGATATGTAGCAGTGTAAGGCAGGCATATTAAAATGCAAGAGTTTATTATAAATATACACCATCAGCAGGGAACAGATGTTGAAATGCTGTAATTTTAAATTTTTATTTTATTTATTTTATTTATTTATTTTTATTTTATTTATTTTTTATTTTATTTATTTTTTATTTATTTTATTTATTTTTATTTTATTTATTTTTTATTTTATTTATTTTTTATTTTTTTTTTATTTTTTATTTTATTTATTTTTATTTATTTTATTTATTTATTTTTATTTTATTTATTTATTTTTTATTTATTTTTTTTTTATTTATTTTTATTTTATTTATTTTATTTATTTTATTTTTTATTTTTATTTATTTTTATTTTATTTATTTTTATTTATTTATTTTTTATTTTTATTTTATTTATTTTTTGTTTATTTATTTATATTTTATTTATTGATTAAAAAAAACACTTGTCTGACCATGATATCAAGATAATGTCTTGTTAATTTAATTTTTTAAACAATTCTTTATTAAGTTATTTGAAGCAAGAATGTTTACTTGTATCTTGGCCAAATTTAAAAAAAAATCATTTAATAAAAGCTGGAGTAATAGACAGCAGCTCGAACTGAGGAATCAGAGATCCGAGTTCAAATTCTATTTGAATTCATTACATTCAATTACGTGCTAATACTCTTGGGAAAGGTATGAATCCTCTTCTTCTCCCCGCCATCTATGGGTAAATTGCAGGAGAGACTGGTTTCTATAGCCTTAGATGGCAACTGGTTTACTGCAAAAAGAAATGGCAACCTACTGCAGGAAAAAATCTGCCTCATCAGTCATGTATCGAAAGATAAATGATTGCCTAAGTGTCTATCATGCATGGCTCACATCTGAATGACTGAATCAGTTTAATATTGAATAGATAATCATAATGATGATTCTTTTAGGTTATAAAAAGTATATTTCACTTGTTTCAAATATACATAAAATATATTACTTATATCCTAAAATACCTTCAAAATGTTCTCAGCTAAATCATAACTAGTAAACCGAGTATCGGATGAAAGTGTCATTAAAACTGGTTATTATTGCCAAGTTCTTGGGAGATATCTTATCAACCACACACAAATTTAGCTACTGTATTGGAACAAACATCAAAATAGAAAATTTATAAATAAATGCATTTCCTTTGAATATTGGCATGTAATGTTGAGTATTTTAAGACATTTTTATGTTTATACTGTAAATTATGTTATGTAAATGCTCTGTTTATAATAAACAGTATTAATGACATTTATCAGCCTGAATGTCTGAGAAATTTTCATAAAAAATATGTGTCCTCCAACAAGAATCGAACCTGTATCCTTCACAGAGTGTACTTTACCGATTTAGCCACAGAGGAGTGTTTCGGTTAGCAAGGTCGATTTTACTGTTCTTAAACTACAGTTCTCCATGATTTTCTCTCATACATTCATATCAGCTTCATGTGTATCCAAATGTAAACAAATAATGCCACACATTATAAACATAAAAATGTCTTAAATAATTGTCAAACTTTGTCCATTTCATAATGTGTGATGCATATTTTCTATGAAAATTTCTCAGACATTCAGGCTGGTAAATGTTGTTAATACTGTTTATTATAAACAGAGCATTTATTTAAATATTTGTATCTATAAAAAAGAACATATAAACATAAAAATGTCTTAAAATCATTGTCAGACTTTGTCCATTTCATAATGTTGAGTATCTAACACATGGTAGTGTCATAGTTGCTAGGTTTGCTGTCACAAAATTGTGTTCACTGTATAGTGCACAACAGATTTTTTTTTGTATTTTTTTTTTTTATCAGAATCTATCTTACACATTTATGATTTTTTTTCTATTCTTTTACGCATTGACTATTGCTGGAACATCTGGTTTGATTATTTTATGTATTTTGAGATTATTGATAAAATCTCATGAATCTGCAAATCTATGACATCTTTATGAATGTATACTTACTATAAGATTGGTGGCAAAGTTTAATCATCTTCCAGTTGAAATGTCTAGATGTAACCGTAAGTTCTATGCTAACAGTTTCTTCTAATGCACTTCTTGCTTGTGGAACTCTCTTCCAGCTTCTTGCTTTCAAGTCAACTTTGATCATCAAAAACTTAAATGCAATGTCAATTGTTATCTTCTGTTTTCTTATTTGTTGTTCTATTTTGTTCTCTCTCCCTAATAATGTTTTTTTTTCTTATATACTCTCACACACAGTAACCCCCTGTGTCTTAATGTCTTTACCTTGCTTAGTGTGTAATGATGGAAAAAAAATGTTGATGCATCTATTTGACAAATATACTGTTATATATTGATGTACATATCTGATATCTGACATTGCTGTATAATGGCGTGTATATCTGATATGTGGCATTGTTGTATGATAGCATGTGTATGTGACATGTGGCATTGTTATATCTGACATGTGGCATTGTTATATCATTTTTATTTCCAGTGGGTCCCTTGGCTCCTGTTCAGATGATGATTACTGAAATCCTTGTTGGCAATAAAATAAAATATGGGGAAAGGATTGAATTCTGTGGAATGAAAAGCGCATGTACAAATGACACATTTCCTGCTCATCTGTTCACAGGAAAGGATAATGTTGAATATCCTCAAATCTGTGTCGATGAACTCTTGTAAGTACATTTTCCAATTTTTTTATGTATAATTTTACAAGATTTCCTTAAAAGATATATAGAACTTTGACTATCAGTTTTTAAATATACTGGGTGTAACAGCAAAATTGTCCAAATCCAGTAACATCATCGGATAAATGTCTATCCCACAAAATGTTTAATATCTAAAAAGCCACTAAACTAATTGAGTTTCTTTTCCCAGCTTTTCAGATAAGACGTTTAGCCATCTTGGCACCATTTGTCATAAGAATCACTGAAAAACCATTTGAGTTATTCAAATAGAATGAGAACAGGTTAAAATCATTTTGTGTTAGCCCCACTATATTTTCCCAACTGAGAAATGGTGAGAGGAAAAAGATCATTGTGCCTTTCAGTAATTGTATAAACATTCATACTCAGGCTTCCATCTTCAAAGTCTATTCAAGAACCATCAAAAAGAGGGAGCAGTAGAGAGGAAAATTGGGTGAAGATATTCTTATTGTTCAAAGTAGAGTTCAATAGTGTTATAAAAACCTTGGAGTATTCCAGTAAGATTTCTTTAATCATTTCTAAGATATAATGGTACAAACTTTAATCTAATAATTGGACAATCTTACTGTTACACGATTTGGACAATTTTGCTGTTATACCTGGTATAAGTAGTAGTTTGCATCCATTTATCTCACAAGGTAATAGCAATGTCCTGTTTCCCCAAAATTCAGTCCTTTTGTATCTGGAGTCTCTTAGTAGTGTGATCTTAGTATAGCAGTCTCTTCTGCAGATGTGACAGACAGTGTGAAGCAAAGAGATTGTTCCTTCTGCAGCCTGCATTGTCTTTTGACCTACAGCTGTTTATTTCACTTTTTTTTTTCATCCTTCATAACCTTTCTTTAATATCATGGTGCCAGATATTGCCATTGTTTGCTAGCTGTGTTCTCAGCTACCTGGATCACTGCCTGTGAGTTTCAGGCACCTCTTCCAAACTTCCTTAAAATATAGTTCATTAAGTAATAAGTAATCGATGTTTAATTGAAAGTCAATAAAATGTCTTTAATAATCCTCTCTGTATTGTCAGTAATATAATGAAAAACATAAGAGCTAAAAAATTTTGGTAAATTATATTGATTTTATCTTTTACAGGATAATGGCTAAAGGACTCAATCATGCAGGTCGGGGTATGAACATTGTCACCTATAACCCTGATACTAAAAAAGTACAACATGTTAGTACATTTGACACTTATAAAGAAGGTAAGTATTGTGGCAGTATATTCACTTACACCATGTGGTCATAAGTTTGGGCTTATGTTCACAAGGAAAACAGAACAAACAAACGTACATAATAACAATAAAAAAAACATGGTAAATTTTATGGTAGTTTTATACAATTTTATTTATGTATTTGCATGTATTAGTGTATGTGTGTCTGTGTATTTTACATTACAATCATAATAAAGTTCATGCTAGAGAAGGGAGTAAGTTACTCTGTAATATCACAAGTCCTATCACCGGGGAAAGTTATACACATGTTGTCATCAGGACAGTCCTTGGGTGAACAAATTGAATCTTGTGTCTCTTGTCGTGATGTTCATATTTCTGGTAAGAACAGTCCCTGTTGCATGCTGGGAATGATTTTATTATTTTTATTTTATTTATTTTATTTTAAAGGAGGTTTAAATTTTATTTTATTTATAATTTTCATTATTATTATTATTATTATTTTCATTTATAATAATGATAACAATGTTCCCACAGCATAATCAATGAAAGATCTTCCTAAAAGCATGCAGAATGGCACTTAGTTAATGAAATCATCAGAAAAATTAAAGCAAAATACTGGAAGAAATAAATATGAATCTGTTATTCACAAGCAGTCACCCATCTAGATACTAACCAGGCGCATCAATGCTTAACATCATTATTGGATGAGAAACAGTGTTTCAACATGATATGGCCATAAGCTATATTGCATTATGATGAAGAAAAAACAAGTTAGAATTCTCCATCATAAAAATATGAAAAATATGAGTTCAAAAATATGAACTGAAAAGTTCTTGGCTTGATTCAATTTCTAAAATCACAGCAAATAACCAAATTTTAGAATTTGTTTCAGAATTCCTTCTTAGATGGACCAAAAACTGTTGTAATTTTTATGTCCACTCTTCTAGATCCTTCATTTACATTAATGAAATTGTTTTATAGGAGTACACCTTTCTTTGTTTCTAACAAAATTTTTCCTGTTTCTTAATAATTTGCTTGCTTTTTAGAATGCATCTTTCTGTATCTCATTTTCAGTGTTGCATTTTCCATCCCCTGTTAAAACATTTCCCAGATATTTAAAATGTTGAACTAGTTTGATTTTGGTATTTCCAATTTGTAATTTGCATGTTGGTCTGTTCCTTTGGGTGACAACTATGCTTTCTGTCTAATGTCCTAAAAACAGGAGTACACATGTTTTATTTAAAGTTTTTTTTATTTTTCCATGATACAAAAGCCATGTTGGTATTCACCAGTTTATTTCCCATTTGTAACTATTTGAAAACTAAACATTAAATCAATATTGCTTCTATTATTTTTCCACAGACAGCACAGATCTTGAAATGTTTTTGGAATCATTGCCAGCAAGAATCATTATCATGGTGGCTGTATGGGATGACGCTGCAATCAAGTAAGTGACCTTGGTTTTGAGAAGATTCTTAGATTTTACAAACATTTGATTTTACTGTCCACAATAGACGTAGATAGTGACAGGGAAACTTACTGAAATGATTTTACTGTTTTTTTCTGCTACAGGTATTTATATGTGACTGTTTTATATCAGGTGATTATCAAAAGCTTGTGTAAATGTCAGCTAGATTGATCAAGAATAAAATTGATATATAAAAAGGGGAGTCTATTCAAAGTAGATATGTACAGTGTTACCCAGATATAAGAGTGTTGTCGGGACCGGAGAAGAAGTCTCTTATATCCGGGTTTGGTCTATTTTATATACATTAACACAGGCTCTAATTTGGGACCAGAGAAAATCTCTCTTATATCCGGGTCACACTGTACAAGCTTTTGACCAATAAGATCTTGTATTTCTATAAAATATACAGCATGTATCTTTATATTTTTATCACTAATTTTTTTTTGTTGTAACAAAGCAAATATATAAAATAAGATGTGATCCCAGTCCTGACTTGTAATTCTAACCAGGAGTTAACACCTCAAGGTGTGTGATATATATATATATATATATATAATTATTTATTTAAAAATATTTATTTAAAAATATGATTCCAACATGCAACATAAGAGGTCTCATTCAAAAATACTAAAGAACTTTGGATTATTTACCTAACCAGTTCTTTCCTATTTTCTATATATTTTCACACACACACACACATATATATATATATATATATATATATATATATATATATATATATATATATATATATTATTTTTTTTTTTTTTTTTTTTTATAGTAGGGTTTCTCCTGTACAAGGCCCAGAGGCCACTTGAGGTAGTGTTACATTAAGGGGTAGTTTATATGGGTAGGAGGGGAATATAACAGTTGAATCTAGACTTGAACAGGTTAATATTGCAGTGACCAAGGAAACATCCTCTTTGGAGTCTGTTTCATTTGGCAGTGGTTCATGTGAAGAAGCTGTGAATGAAATAATCCACAGAGAGTTGATAGGTACCTCATACAGAATTTTACATTAAACAAACCAACAGTGTTAGTTTTTTTTTTTTCCCTTAAACATAGCTTTCTAGGTAAAATGATTTTACTTATCTGCATGAGATGCTTAACCATCTCAGTCTCTTGTCCAACTGAGGGTTCTTCTTTTTGGCCCGCCAGCCGAGTCCAATTTATTGGTCATTGCATTTCACTTCCTGTTGTCAATCATCAGCCTTTTCTCGTCTTCAGGCTAAAAAGGTACTGATGCCTAGTTTTTGGGATTCCATCATTAAGAGAGCACCTGCCCATTATACCAACAGAATTAGTGTCAGAGTGCATGTCTTGATGCCTATGGATCTGGGCAATTTATTGTCTCTAATTTACTTGTAAATACATGTGGCCACTCACACAAATAAATGATTTGTTGCATCTTGTCTGAAGATCATGGCTAAATATGAATATTGTTTGGGAAGTTTAGTGAAAAATCAGCATGTTACACTTATTTCTTTGGCCAAAAATAGGCATTACATTGGTTCCTACGGAAACACATAAAAAGAAGCAGCAACCCTTTCATTCCTTCCTTTTTTTTTCTCCTTCCAGGCATATGTTCACAAGTTTTTTTTCTGTTCTTGTTATTTCATCTCCCAAAATAAAGCTCTCAAAACAGGGGCACATTTTACTATCTTGAAAATAGACTTACACAATGGTAAATTTCACGTACCAACAACATGTGTACATTTCTTCCTTATTATTGGTTTGTTAGAAATTGTTTTCTATATATGTCACACTAAATGGTTCAGTTTTATTTACTGGTTGTATCCAGTTTCACACAACTTGTCTTTCTCTCCTGTTTGCTCTAAATCTGCTTTTTATGACTACTGGGATTAATGGTTGTTGCCAACAATAACATCATTCATTATCACCATGCCACCTGAACATGTCTTTTTTTTAATGTTGTTTAGGGATTTAGCATTAAAACCCTTAGCTCACAATATGTTCAGTTTAAAACTGGATTGTCAGTAGTGTACTATTTATTGGGAGATTTCAAATTTTTGCAAATATAATTTGAGTATCGAAAACAAAACAGAAATCTTTCAATCAGTTATCTCCCCAATTCTAAGATGTTATTTCTTTTCATTTTGTAGACTCAGCAACCATGCCAGAGTACTGTTCAATTCTTTGGGCAGCAGCATGATACAGAATCTCAAATTTCGAGATGTCTGGTATTTTGTTGGACAGAAAGGAATCGAAGGATTCAGCACATTTGAGCAAGTAAGATCTTCTTTCTTTTTAATTAAAATAAAAAAGCAAGGCAATAATGCCACTAAGACGCAAGAGTTTAATGAGCATGAAAGAGAATGAGAAGACTTGATTTTGTTGAGAATCTCAAGATATATGGCTGGAGTACCAGACCAGGTAAGTCAGCAATATCCAATGTGCAAATGAATGACAGATTTTTATAAAAGTGCAAGATGGATTCTGACAAGAAAAATATGTATCACCTTTTTTTTTATGTCACCAAGAAATATCGTTTTTTTTTTCTTTTTTTATTTAAACTCTATTCTCTTTTTCACTCACATTTTATATATATATATATATATATATATATATATATAATGTAATAAATAATTGTCAGACTTGATCCATTTTGTAATATCCTGGCTTAATATAATCGCATGTCTAGCCACAGTGATTAGGCATAATACAGCGAAACAGGCTGTCTGTGGATGACACACACATATATATATATATATATATATATATATTCAGCCTGGCTTGTAATAAACAGCCATGCCCACATTCTTCACAAACCCAAAATGCACACAGAGGTCAACCCACCTCCATAACTTTGACCAAATGAACAATGATTTTTCTGCACCTCCTCATATTCATACCTAGATTGATGAAGACTTTTCTCTTCTAAATATGTGAGCACTTTGACTTTCTTGAATCAGCACCCAGTCACAAAGACTGAATCGAAAAGTATTACATGTACCTGATTTTATGGCAAAGAGTAAATGTTCCACAAAAAATCAATGAACATTTCATATTAAATTCATGCTCATTGTTGCCTGGAGTTAACGAAAGCCAATAAATAATTATTTCTATAATTTCATGATTTTATTCTAAATCTTTAATTTTAGAACTGGTGAACAAAAATGTGGTTGGTCGATTTTCAAATTTGCATAAATTGTCTTACCAAAATGTTTCACAAGAATTTTGGGAAGGATTTTGATATTTGTGATCATCTGATTTTTTTTTTTTTTATATCTATGTTCACCTTATATAAGGCCCAAGAGCCACTTGAGGTAGAGAATTACTGAAGGAGTTTGTTGTATTAATAGTAAGAGGTGTAATTGTTGAGGCTATATGGGGGAAAATGGTTAACCTTAGACTTTGTTGGGTTACCCACTCCTAATTTTCAAAGCTGCTACTAGGGGGTGCTCTCAGAACTGTAAATATTCTGCCATATTTTTTTCATGATCTCACTTTCTCCACTTATTCATCAACATGTAACCTATCATGGAGATAGCATTCCCTTTGGGAAACACATGAACAATATACACACACTCACAAACACCCATGTACGTATGCATATTCACTCAATACACATACATTGAACCAAAAAGGTATTCACATTCATTTGTTACCCACATCATTGTCTTTGTCGCTTGTATACTTTTGTTATTAATACATTATCATTTATTTGTACATATATATTGGCTATCATCTTTTCTTTAGATTTATTTTTGTAGACTCACATCCTGAGTCTGCCATGTTTGTTGTGGGTATTTCAGGAGACAGTGTGTTATTCTCAATTTCTAACTCCAACGTTACTCACGCCCACAAGTTAGGAAGCGAATACATCAGCCAGCAACAAACTAAACCGGATAACATTGTAGTAGTTGGGAAAGCATCCTGTTAGGGTCGGTTCCCGATAGGTTTGTCTCAAGAAGTGTGTTGATTTCAATCTTTGCTAGGGTATGTCTGCAAAACATTTATCCTTTTATAGGCAGACGTTCAAAAATGCATGCTGGGATATTTTTCTTCACCAATAAGATAGGCTTGTTTGCAGTTTGACATGACTCAGTCAAGATCTGCCTTGTCTAGAAGTCAGACCATGACATTTACTTGTCCAAATTTGCTTTTGTGTGTCAAAATTCTTAGTTTGTGAACTTTTTGCATTCTTGCCTGTTAATTTGCCTTGCATATATTGTTTGCATACTTGATATTATTTCATTTTTGTTCTGTTCATTTTTTCTTTTTATTGCAAACTTTTTTAATTCTGTATGTTGGGAAGTTCCATTCTTTAATATGCATTTGACCATGGCTATGCACTCCAAAGAATAGAACTTGCTTCTCACTAAAGTAATACTAATGGCATGAGGAAATTGTGTGAGTCTATTGCGCACAAACATACATACATACAAATACAAATCACATACAATGCCAAGCATTCATTGGTTAATTAATCACCACTACGTTATTATAGACAATTTACAAAATCACTGCAATGCGACAATTTTGTAATTGTTCTATTTTCATGTAGTCAGTTTTGTGAACTTTTGGGAGAAACGGATCACAGAAGCTTTCTTAAGTCTCCCCAAAGCTTGCTCACTGATTGGTCTATGCCAACCAATCAGATTGTCTGTACGTGAAGAATAATACTTCCCATGCAACGATCTGGAGCCTATAGTCACTTATTTAAGCAAGAATTTTTCTTAGCTAATTCGTGAGAATTCAGCTGCCAAACGAATCCACGACAGTTGAAACCATGTGCCAACCTTCTCACTCACACACACCACTCACCTGTTGAACATACCTTGTATACACTCACATGAACTTTTCTAACACGGCAAATCTTTTAAGAACAGTCATTATAAGAAACTCTTATGAACATTATTTCATTGAACTTTGAAATACTAAAATAACGGCTAAAGAGAGACAACTCTTGTTTATTTCAACCTTTTCTTATTTAAATGCATGCTTTCTTTCGCATCATTGTTTGATATTGTACATCTTATTAATTACATAATTTGTGAGTAACAATGTCTTTTGCTTATCCTTTTCTGCGTCAACCCTGTTTCCTAATCTAAAGTTGAATTAATGTGGTCAAGTCCACCACAAAATTAACTAGCAATTAGGATTTTTGCTTATATTTTAGAATATTTTTATTTTATAAACCTCTTATTTCCAGGAAGTGTATACACGCTTTAGTTCAAAGCTTTTAATAATTAGTGTAGAGATAGTGATAAATTTGAAAAAACAGTTTTTTTTTTTTTTTAAGCATTTACACATATTGGAAATAAAAGTATTTATTGTTATTGTAATTCCGTTTTCTTTTATTTTTGTTTTTAATTTTCCTAACATCTTGTGAAAAAACAGCAATGAAATTAAATTCCTTTTCCTTGGTAACCCTCACTTGAAATTTACAAGGGACAAGCAAAATCTGTCGATGTCCAGTTAATTTCAGTCTGAATTTAGAACAAGGGAGTTAACTTCTAATTAACTGATTGTTTCCCTTGTGTTATGAGCTAAATTCGTGGTTATGCTTCATCTTATTCAACGTAAAAGTAAAATATAATAAAAAAGAAAAAAAAAACATGATTAAATTTAAATAAGGAACAAGTCAAAAAAGAGCCTTTCAAATATCACGTCACCTGTAATTTTCATCAGGGGGCGGTAATTTAACAGTATGCACAGTTGATCAGTAAAATATAAAACAATGATTAATGTCAAGTATTATTTCTGTCTGAATTTCTGGGATGAAGTATTAGGTTGGTGCAAAAATAATGACGTAATAATGTCGTTTTTTGACGTATTTTTTAACGTCAAAAAACGACATTTATCTTTATTTACATAATTTACATGAGGAAGACTATTGTCTTCATTTTTGTTGTTATAATGTTTTGCCTATTATGCCCTCCAGCCTTCATCAGGTGTACATCAATTCAGGTAACCTTCTATGGTATAGTATCCTAGTTGCTTGAAGTATTGGTTTGTAAATTTGGTAACTTGAACTATGATGTCTGAATGTCTCAATAGCAAAAAAAAAAAAAGGTAACAGGAACAAAGATGAGGACATTAATATGCAGGTAAATAGTCAATGCCAGTACTAAATATATATATCATGACTAAATGATATCTCTAAACATCATATCTCATTATTCAATATATATGATATAAGATATATGTACAGTCTGTGATTTAATGGTAGTCTTTACTGCACAGGACTGAAAATTAAATGCCGAAAAAGTTTTTATTATGTAAATCAACTTATTATTTTCTAGCTACTTTTCTCAAGGTACAGTTTTTTTAACGTCTTTCTCAGTTTTCAAATTGAGAGTTACCTCCCTTTTCTCATCAGATACATACACTGGTATCTTCACCATGAATCTGTTACAGTTGTTGTCATTGATTTTTTGTCAGTCCATAGCTACTGCATAATATTGACTTATATATAAAATTGCACAATACTACTTCTGTTACTGTATATTGGTTGGGGAGATTATCTTATAACAACGTCTGTGCCCACCAAATATCTGACCTTGTGTAAGGATCGAAAGAAAATGTACAGAGCCTTAATATATAAAAGAAATTTTTATTTAACACGGTATGGGAAAATGATATATCATTTTTTATATATGAAGAACAATTTTGAAAAAATTATGACAAGATGGAAAAAAAATGTGATTATACATGCGCATGAAGGAGAGGTGTTGCTGAAATTTTAAATTGTAACTAAAATTTTATTTTTTAAAATGTATGTTTTGTATCCATACATATATCGTCATCATCAGCATCCGTCTGTCTCGAGAGACAATGGAGTAGCGCAGTGCACTATGAGCCTGGGTGGGATATATGGAGAACTAGGGCTGCCCAGATTTCTAGTTCCCCCTTCTTGGCCTTGCTAGCAGAGTCCAAAGGAGAGGATAAGCCAATACAGTTTGGTACCAGCGCGGCAGCAGGAGTTGCCGGAAGGTAGCATAAAGTGCCGTCCATCCGCCATAGGGGCTCCACTCTGGGTTTGAATTCAGAGTTGTCCTTCTTCTAGACCAGTTGCCATCCAAGGCTATAGAACCCAGTCTGTCCTGCTATTTACCCATAGCTGGAGGGGGAAGAAGAGGATTCACACCTTTCTCAAGGGTATTAGCACGTAAGTGAATGTAATGGATTCGACTGGAATTTGAAATCGTCTCTGCGATTCCTCAATCCAAGCCGCTATCCATTACTCCACCATGCCTCCTCTAATATATATATATATATATATA